GAATAGGTGCGAACTGGTAGGAACCCACCTCTGCTATAGATGTAGAACACAGTGGTGGGATTCAATTTTTTTTTACTACCGTTTCTGTGACCGTGGCTTGGTAGGCATGGCAGGGGGAGGATACGGGAAAATCTCCATTCCCTCCACACTCCAGGGGAAGGTTACTTCAAAATCCTCATTCCCTCTTGATCAGCTGGGACTCGGGAAGCAGAGAATAGATGGGGGTGGGTCCAGTCAGAGGTGGTATATACCGGTTCTCTGAACTACTCAAAATTTCTGCTATGGGTTCTCCAGAACTCTCCAGACTCACTGCCCCACTTCGAATGGTATGACTGTTGTGCTTTTTTAATTATGCATGGTTTTTATGTTTTTGGTAACTTTGTTTGTTTTTCCCCTCCCTTTGAGTTGTGAGCCGCCCTGAGTCCCTTTCAGGGAAAAGGGCGGCATACAAATAAATTAAAATGAAAAAAAAAATGAAATGAAAGCCTTCTACAAACATACAACTTTTTTTAAAAACCAAATTTCCAAATCTCTTTTATTAGCTTTTAAAATACCTTTTCATTAATTGGGCTTTTTTCATTTATAATCTTAGCACTACGCTCTACTGACTGAGATTTACTATCTTTGTTTTTGCTTTCAGATCATAAATCAGCAACTTTTTGAGCTCAGCCCCAGTGAAGAAGATCCAGTAGAAGCTCACACAGAAGAAAATGCCAGCGAGAAACTTAAAATAACATTTAACAGGGCATTTTGGTTCAGAATGTATGAAAAAGAATCAGCTGCATTGATTTATTTTGGCCAAATAACAAATCCCCTAAATGAAACATAAATTCTGGATGGGGGTGGGTGGGGAACAGTTTTCTGTAATCCTTTAATCTTTTTCCTGCAGTACTTAGTTTTTATGTTTTTTTAATCTTGCTTTGAAAACTAATGCATTTTCAGAAATAAACTTGACAAATTTATCAATAGAACTTTATAAAAAAAATACTGGTTTACATAATGATTAATAAAGTGCTCACATCTCTTAAGACTATTATAAGATAAAGTAGATCATTTCCCATTTACTGAGAGATTCCAATGTGTGCTGGATTTAAGCCAAATATATAAATTTTAATCCATAGTTTATGGTTTAGCAAACCCAACTATTTTGGCTTATTCAACAATATATGTGGATCTAAATATTTCCTGTGAAAGAACTCTGCCACTCAAAAATATGGGGAATAATATATCTGGAACAGAGAACTTAGTAACCAGTTTCTACCTTCTATTTAAATACAGCATATTCGACATTTAGCTATGTCTATGTTTAATTGTTGCACAACTAAGTTTAGCTACATTGGGATAATGTTACAATTAAACTCTATTCATGTCACAGGAACTTACTTCATCGAAGCTGCACATGCAAGTCATCTTTGTGTCCCCAGTGTACTCACTCAACTTTTTGGGCTAATGGTATACAGCCTAATCTTGGTCAGTAATCCCTCTGCTTGCATTTTCTAAGCCTTTCCATGCTTGGGTTGTGGGATTTTTAACAATTTGTATGAAACATTCAACCACCCATGACCAAATGTAGTATGAAGGCCATGGAGTGAGATATTTGTTCTATGCCAGGAGGAACATTCCAAGTCCAGAACAAATTGTGAAAAAAGAAAAATTAAGTAGCTTAATCTGCAAGGTTGATTTAGTACACCTACTTTGTGTCTAAAAATCATTAACTCCCACTCCACAAGCATGGAAAAAAAATTCCCATCATTAAAAATAAATGTAGAACTCAAGCTGAATTGTTTGAACCATACGTTTGAAATACTTGAATATCTGGTCATATCTTCTGAGACACACACCAGAGGTGGTATTCAGCAGGTTCTGACCAGTTCTGGAGAACTGGTAGCGGAAAGTTTGAGTAGTTTGGAGAACTGGTAAATACCACCTCTGACTGGCCCCACCCCCATCTATTCTCTGCCTCCCGAGTCCCAGCTGATCAGGAGGAAATGCGATTCTGCACTAATTTTCCCCTGGAGTGGGGAGGAAATGGAGATTTTACAGTATCCGTCCCCTGCTACGCCCACCAAACCACCCCACAGAATCCGTAGTAAAAAAAATTGAATCCCACCACCAACACACACTGACTAGGAAAAAAAAGTGATAATCGGATGCACTTTTTGGTCATAACAACACTCCAGCTCCAGTTTAAAATCGATGGTGGGAAAGAGCTCAGGACTGCTGGATTCACTATCCAGAGCAGGGTGCATTTACAACTAAAGTGTTTATATACTTATATACTTATATATATTTATATACTTGTTTATAAATTTACTCCGAGAGCCACAGCTTCCAGACCAAAATTCATATATTTGCTTCATAGTTTGTCCCTCCTTTTCACCTTGGCATTATAATTCATAGGTCTATATGCATTCCTTTGAAACAGGATCCAAAGTGGATATTAAACATCCTAATGGTGAATCTTTTTTTCCCCCCTTTATGGGGAATCAGGAAAACATAATTTGTTTGATTGGCATCTAGTAGTAGGCAGAAATAAAACTAATTTAAGGTAAGGCCCTCTCCCCTTTGCTGTCCAGCACTCTGATTGGAACATTTTAATATCAACTAATAGCAATTATTAGGTACTGACCACATCGTAAGAACCACTGTGATTCCAGAATACTTTGTCTCTGAAGTCATAACAATGTACATTTCTTCAAATACAGAACTTCTTCCTGTCAGGACTCATCTATGTTTTCAAATTAGGTACTGGCTACATCATGACAGCCAGGAGCCACAATTCAGCCTCCCAACCTTCCAGGGATCATGCTATGTTATAATGACCCCATGGATGGGGGGAAAAAAACGTGTTTCACAATTTCAATGATGGAAATAGGGATTTTAATGGAAATTGAATTTCCAGGTCCCTAAATTCAAAGATGCTGATAAAGTTAACTGAAGACGAAATAGAATTCAAACCAGAACTATTTCTTTTGGTAATCATAAATGATAAACAAGAGGGTAATATATTTAATAATACATATTATTATGGCAGCAAGAATGGTCTTTTCCCCAAACTGGAAAAACAGGGAAATTCCACAAGAGGAGGAAGTAATTCTGATTTGTACCAAAATGGATAAATTGACGTGAGAATTGAAGAACAAAGACAAATCAGAATATTATAAGATCTTTGGTAAACTTTATCGATGGTTGGAACAAAAAAGGAAAGACACTTTCCTTGACTTAAGGCCCTGACTAAGATTTATAGAATGGAGATTAGAATTATGTATGAAATCATAACAGTGAAAATGTGTAAGACAAGAACAAAGCAACATGGATGAAAATACGATATCCTTATATTTGTAAATACTGACTAGACCAATCGTAAATAAGCATGGTGGTTATAATATCTAACTTTATATACTTGTATGTATGGCAAAGACATTGCCAGGATGGTTACAATGTTTTAATGTGTGTTTAATAAAAAACTTTCTAATTAAAAAAAAAGGATTTCCAGGTACTGAGAAGGGTTTCCCATAACCACTCTAAAATGCCAATTAAGGCTGTAAAGAACACTCTTTAATTAGCTATGAATTCTGAGATTTTTGAGATAATACAATAAACCTCTATTAAATAAATACTACAACTCTATCTCTTTCATTCACTTATTGTATGCCAACAAAAGAAAAGTAGCAAGTAGTCTTCAACGAAAAGTCACTTGGGGAAACATTTGATTTTCTTCACAGGGTTAGGGAAACATTTTGACTCGGAATAAAAGATGCCACCCATTGATGAAAAAGTTCAAAATTGTTTTCTTTTTAGAAAACCAAGAATAGTTCTTTATAAACTCAAAAGTAATATGATACAAACAATTCTTAGATGTCACGACATTGCTACTCTTACATCTTTAAACTATTTTAATCAGAAAATAAACCATAAAAACACACAAGTCATAGGAATATACTTAACACCACTGTTTATTCTAACAAAATTTACAAAAAGACAAAATCCTTTTTGTTCATTTTAATCATCTTAAATTCATTTTTTCTGCATGATAATAATTTACAATAAAAATAAAAATATTTCCATAATCCTATGGCAGAATACGTAGAAATATATAAACTGCCTTCCATATAACGGAAAACCAAAATAAAAGTTCTCCCCTGTATGTTTCTTTATTTTCACAAAATGAGTTTTTCTATTTTGAGATAAATTTAAATCTGTGCTGAAGTTGCATTAGGAAGCACTTTTTTTTGCTATATAGTATTTGGCAAAGAAAAGTAAAAATAAAAAATAAAGTTGTTTTCTTTTTTGGAAGCTAGGTCTCTTCATTAAAAAGCTGGAGATGATGTTATGTTTGTTCGGTGGCTATCTGATCTTTAGCAGCTTGAACAAGCTCCGAAAGAGTGGAAAAACTTTTAATGTTGCTCAGCTGCATCCCCATCCTCTCCATCTAAAACAAAACATCAAATTTACTAATTATTGCATTGTAAGGAACGCCAGGAATATTTCAAACATAACAGAAAATCTACAATGTGAGAATTGGATTTCAAGAAGTTACACATACACCCTCCAACACTTCCCCCCCCAGCAAAAAAAAAATCATGTTGTGAAATAAACTGGACCAATATCAAATGACCGACCAAAAGATACCAAAAGCAAGAGGGAATGATTGTCCAAAAGATTTTGAACTGAAGTTTGTATGGCCAAACTCTAACACATTAACAGCTATATTTATGCAACCCCACCCCCAACCCTTAACTGTTTTTGACATTTAGGTTACCTGCATTCCAAAATGTTCTACATCTAGAACTAACTGTAGGCGGATTTTGTTATCATCACACATGCCTCCAGAAGGGGAGGGATTATTTGCAGTTACAGTTTTTCTGGCTTGTTTTAGCCTCTTCAAGCTCTCTTCCATTTTCCTTACAGAATTTAGTATATCTGATACTGTATCCAAGTACCTACATGAAGAGGAATTGATGGATTAGATTATGAGTACTTGTGGACAGAACTTCATTTGGGGGTGGGGGAGTGGGGGAAGAGTGTATAATGTGTACATAGTAATTATACTGTGCCTATAGGATGGAATAGAATATGCAGTGCATTCAGAAAGTATTCAGATCCCCTTCACTTATGTGATGCTTGCAATCTGATTCTACAGTTGTTGACATTATTCCCCCCCCCTCATTAATCTATACTCAGTATCCCATAATGACAAAGTAAAACAGAATTTTAGAAATGTCTATAAATTTATTAAAAAGAATAAAAACCCTGAAATGCACTGTAGGTAAATACAGAGAAATGAAGTTATGCTCTTTCTCTCCCATTTAATTCAACAGTAACTGAAAACTACTGATTTTAGCCTGGACCATGCCCTAATTGAATTATACTTTAGCTTTTATCGATACCATAGGATGATTCTTAAACCCTAGAATATCACCACAAAATTCTGGTTCCTTTGTACATAGTATAGGTAATTGCAACAAAATACTCCTATTGTACTTCAATGATACAGAATTTCAAAAGACACACAGGCTTAGGTCTAAGAAACCGTGATCGACAAAAGCGCGCTCGACGAAAGTGCGTACCTGACGTCATCAGCAGCGCGACGAAAAAAATTAAAAAATAAATTAAATTAAAATTAAAATAAAATTAAAGCAAGCCGATTCACATAAAGGTAAGGGTTAGGTTTAGGTTTAGGGTTAGGGTTAGGTTAAGGGTTAGGTTTAGGGTTACGTTAAGCGTTAAGGTTAGGTTTAGCGTTAAGGGTTACCGTTACGTTTAGCATTAGGTTAAGGGTTAGGTTTAGGGTTAGGTTTAGGGTTAGGCTTAGGGTTAGGTTTAGGGTTAGGTTAAGGATTAGGCCTAGGGTTAGGTTTAGGGTTAGGTTTGGGGGGAGGCTTAGGGTTAGGTTTAGGGTTAGGTTAAGGATTAGGCCTAGGGTTAGGTTTAG